CTTCTTGCAGACATAATATGTTCCTTTGTAAAACTGACAATATAAGTTAAAATATCTGTACATGTAGAGAGGATACTTATTAACTGATAATCACAAGTTATTTTATTGGTAATTAGAAACTTAAGAAAATGAAAGAAAAAAATCTCTGGTTATAAGAAATAAAAGAATAGAGGGATATTTTCAAATATAACAATAAGAATACATTCTTTTATTTACACGTGATAGCACAATTAGTAACATATTGCTAGATAGTTTTCATTATGGTCCTGTATAAAACATATTTACAGACAGATAAAATAAAATGAAAGTAGAAAATACATTGATTCATTTTTCTAACTTACTATGGCAAATAATAAGAGATTCATTCAAAATATCAAATAAAATAAATAAAAATAAAATTCAATAAAATAAAATAGAAAATCACAAATATGCATGAGCTCAAAAATGAGATAATACTTTTATTATAAAAGGGTTGTTTTAGAAAATTTTCAAATTTACAGTGGTTGCTAAAAAAAATTTCATTTTGTCTAAATTTGTATCAGTAATGTCAGCTGCTTTTATTTACAATATGAGAAGTCAACAAAACTTGATTAGAATAACAAATATCCTACATAAAATTCTCAGTTAGAAATAAATCTGTCTGGTTCTGTAAAATATATTGTTCAAAGTGTTAAATTTTACTGGGCAGTAACATAAGAAAGGCAAATAAAATATAACTTAGGTATGAAAAAGCCAAAAATGCCTCGCTGAAAGATAAATGAACCTTCAGTCAAGATATTCTAGTTACCTTTAAAAAATAAAGTACAAATCAGTTTATATTTTCACCTGTTGGAATGGGTTCATAGTCATCTTGATCTCTCCGTCCACGGCCACAAATTACCAGAATTCTATAAGAAAGGAAATATAACCTTTCTAATACTTGTACTTTCAGAAAGAAGTCATTGAATTGAAATTTACACATCAAGAAAAGGACTTTTTTGGGAGGAAAACATATTATCTTAAAGTAAACATTGTCGTCATTTTCTTTTTCTTTACATTAATCACTACAATTAACCTTAAAGGTTATATCTCATGGTGAATGTGATTAAAAAATTACAAAACATACCTCTACAACTTTCTCAAATTTTGGAAAAATAAGTAGAAAATGCTGTTACATAAGAGAACATAATTTACTCACAGCAGAAGAATGAGAGCTAGAGACATAAATCCAGCTAGCACTAGATATGCCATCCCTCGATAATAGTAAACTGTTGCAGAATATATAGCTGTCCCAAGTACAGAGCCCGAGAGGTTACAAATGTTCTCTATAATAGCTATACTTCCAAACATTGTACCTACAAAAAGAAAAATAAATTACATAAAAGTCGCTGTAACAAAGTTCATAAAATACAGCACTGGTTATTGGATAATTCTTTTTCATGGAAATAATATTTTGTGGTCTCATTGTTGAATATTACCTTGTTTGTTTACAGGTGTCATCTTTGACATCACCGCCCTGATCATTGGAATGGAGCACATGCCAACAGCACCAACTGCAGCAGCTAGAAAGGAAATTATATCCAATATAATTTTGTAACAGTGCTCACATCACTATTCATTAAATAAAATAGAGATGCAGACAAAGTCTTACCTATGTAAAGGTATTTCTCAGATGGGGCCAATCCAAATAAGATGTAATAAGCTAGAGAGGAAATGGTGCCAATGAATGCAATAATTTCATCTCTTAAACACAGCTGCATCAGTTTTATTCCAACTAAAATAATGACTTCAGACAATACTGCTTTCAAAGTTTCAAACAGGCTTAGTTTGATTGGATTGAAACAAAATGGTGAATCGATCAGATAAAGTAGCTCAAAAGAAGCACCCAGCCTTGCCAACATAATGAAAGCAAATGCAGAAAGACCCACTATGTATTTCCATCTTTTAGAATCCCTGAAAGATTCATCCTCTTTGATGTAAAATTGGAGAATCTCTTTCAAGTTGGTAATACAGTGAAAATGTACTGTTGAGCGTCGACTAGGAGGTAGTGATTCTGGCAGGAAACATATACCAATAACCGATAGGAAACATATACCGCAGGACAACGCCATGGCATAAGTGTAGCCTAAAGCTACGATTGCATAGCCAGGTATGAAATTACCAACGGAGTAACCCACCCCAAACACAAAGCTTATAGCAGCAATGAGAAAAGATCTAGACTGGCCAGTTGATATATCAGACATAATGGAAAAAGTGATGGCCAACAGGGCCACCCAACTACCAGTACAACCCTCAATAAATGTAAAAGGCACAAATAGATAAATATTCCAATCCAATGCAATAGCTAGAGTCATAAGTAACTGTTTTATACAAACACCCGCACCACCTATAAAAAGGAAAATCTTACGGCCCACAGAATCACTTAGAGGAGAGAATATAATTGATGCAAATATTAAAGGAATTCCTTGAGCTAGGTTAATGTACACACTCCACTCTGAGACCACTCTCTGCACCTCTTGCTCTTTTCTATAACTCTCAGAACTAGTATTAGTATCGCATTGAGATTTATCTGTTGTATTTAAATGATTTTGGTTTGGAAACAGAGATTCACGAAATTTGCCATGACCATATTGAATTGCTATGAAGTATCCCATTATGTAAGCAAGGAAGAAGAAGAATTCCACAACACAGAGAGGTAAAAACTTCCGGAGGTACCCCTCCTCTGTCTCCGGTCTCCGAGGTTCCATTCCGACAAATATCTCCAGATCAACAACAAAATAACTGTCAATTGAACATCTTAACAATGCAACACACTTGAACACAGACTGTTTCTTGAGTAACCGTCCGATCAACTGGATGGCATTCCATCGTCATCGCACTATGTTAAAATTCAGAACATACAATTATTCCGGGAAACTCTACCATGTCTACCGTCTGTTCGAGGAAAGTCATTAAATTTTTCACAGTTATCCATTAGAATTTCACTGATTTCCTTGTTCTGTACCAGATGTAACCACGTCTTTACTCTTTGCTTGAGTGTTGTTTTGTAAACAACTTCCAGGGGCAGACAACGCCAAATTAAGGTGAATCGCTATTTGCCCCATGACTGGTTTGAACCGACGGTCACTTCAAATCTTAGGAAGATTTGAGCTTACATGGGATATCAAATCCAATAATTCTTTTCATTTTAAAATATGCTTTTCTATAGCCTTTTCAATAAGCGCAGCTGTTGCTACATTAAACTTTGAATGACATTTCATCATAATACCTGAAATAGCAGTATTTACTATTTTGGTACAGTTTGCACTGCATTACCATTAAAACTAAATTTATTTCCTTAGTTAAGGTTGGGGTTTTATTGTTTGAAAACTACAAAACTACAATAGAGAAACTCTTAATTTTTATACCATATATAGGTGTTGGAACCGGGGGGGGGGGGTATAGAATATTAGAATATTAGAATTAGAATATTTATTCAACCAATTTGGGCCCACAGTGGAGCATACAGAACAGTGTCCAAAATCATCACAGTTATACATATACAAAACAGAACAAAACAAACATTGTATAATGAACAGAGAGTTAGTTATCTTCTTTTAATGTATAGAATGTACATTATAAGTGGCCTATGTATAATATCGGGAACTATGTTGTTTTCTCTTATTAAAATTTGCATTTAAAAGTTGGGGGGGGGGGGAAAGGTTTTAAAGATTTTATCTAAAAACTCTCTTCTTGAGTCATTATAAAGTGAACATTCTTGCAATTCATCCTCAACATTACCTTTATTAATTTTCCTATAGAAAATGATTACTAATTCTGAATTTTGTGAGGATGTCTCGGTTTTTCATATTCAAGTATTTTTCAAAATAAAAAAGACCTTTTATACTTAAAATATGTATTTAATTTACCAAAGCCTTCCAAATAATTGGTACTTTTTGTTTAAAAAAACTATTACTGAGAGTATTTAAATTTGTTTTCACTTAGATATCAAGGAATTGTAGGAAAAAAAATTGGGAGTGAAAGTAAATATGGCTATATATAATGAAAAAGTTTGTACAAGATTTAGATACACCCATAATGTATTTACAGAATTTCATATTGAGTTTTTCAACTTCCCAATCTTTAAATATATCAAAAAGAGGAATATTTTTCCTTTTTGGAGTAACGTTGATAATGCTCCAGTTCTCACAGCCATATAAAGCTATAGGTTTAATACAGTGATCAAATATATGTAAAAATGTTTTTAAGGAGGGGTTAGCATTTTTCACATCCCTATAGAATTTAAAGCACTTTAAACTTTTCTGATACAGTTGTTTTTTGGCTTCAGTAAACTTTCCATTGTTTTCAAGAGTTATATAGAGACAGGGACGTCAACTTTTTCAACTTTTTACCAGAGTATAGTGATATCAAGGAATTGTAAAAAAAAAAAAGTAAATTGGCTTTGAAAAAGTTGGCTCTGGCTTGTCAACTTTTTCCCCCCCCCCCCCCCCCCCCCCCCCACTTTCAAAAACGACGCTACGTGCCTGAGAGGGGCTTGGTCCCCACTTTTTTTTGCAAAGATAGAAATAATATAGGCATTGAACAACATTGGAGCGTAGGTTTCATATGTGTTTAGCCCTCCCTTTTTTTTTCAACAGACATATTGCAGCATAGTAAGTATCGGTACATGTACTGGTAGTGTTTGTAAAAAATTGGTACTGAAAGAAGTTTGAACATAATACCCCACCCCCACCCCCGGTTTTTTTCTCTCTCAATTAGCCTCCACCCACCCACTCCCCCGCCAATTCTATATCTAACTTACATTGGACTTTAGTGCACTTGCAAAGTTTGGGGAATTATTTCTTGGCTGAGTAGATCTTCATGTTTCCCGAACATTCATGCAATGAATTGTTTATTATACTGAAACAAACAAAGACTTTTAAATACTGCTTTTAATATGTTCACCTTCAATTTACTCTCCGATAAAACAATCATCAATTTTGTGATGTGACCTGGAAAAAATCAACCCTCGGGGGTGGGGGTGGGGATGAGAGGTATGATCGAACTTCTTTCGAATTCAGTGCCGGTGTAACGACGAAAAGTGACTCCCGTATAGAATATTGACCAGGGGTAATTTTTCTACGTAGAAAAATGACCTCGGGCCAATATTCTACGACGAGTAGGGTCATTTTTCGACTGTAGAAAAACATTCCAGACCAGTATCTCTACGACTTTTGGAAGATCCTAAGTCATCTCGAGGTAATCTATTTGGGATTCTGATAAATGAATTATTCATTTTTGTCGAACAGATTTATTATAAAATGAATGTATTCATAATTATTGTAAACAAAGATAAACATTTTACGATTTCATAGTTTTTCTGGGTTTATATAAAGTTCATGAGCTGAATAAAGGATAAAAAAAAATGTCACAAAGGAATGCATTTACGCTACAGATTATGACAGATAGCATTATAAGCTATCTGTAATAGAACCCAATAAAATGCCAATAACACCTTTGTCCCCATTGTCTGGCCTCTGTAATATATAGCAATTCCCTGGTCATTCACTGATGTCTGTAATTTTTAATCAATTTAAATAGATTCATGTACAATGCATAACCACTGATCATTTTATTCTGCAAAATATAAGATAAATAAATGAGTTGTGTCCATTGACATGTTGTAAATTTTGAATTTACCAGTAAATAGAATGTGTGAATTTTGTATTTACTGAAATACAAAATGTAAAATTTGTATTTATTGCCACTCGCTAAATATAAAAAAATACAACATGACACAATTATAACTTTGATGATTTTGAAATGTTGGTAACGATTTTGATGAAATGTTTATTTTGGTTATCATATTTAGCCTTTGTATCCTCTCGAGGAACGTTGAGTAACTGGCTAAAGCTTACTAGGTATTTTTTTTCCAACTTTAATTCCCAACTAAAAGTAAAGAAAGCAATTTTATTTTTCTACTTATATAAATGTGTAATAAGCAGAAGAGCAAACACGGATCTCTAAAACATAAGAGGTGGGATCAGGTTCTATGGAGAAGTGAGCATCCCTTGTCGACGGGCCTCACATGATTGGTCATGATCGGTAAATAACGGGGAAAATCTGTTGACAATTCAAAGTGTAAATAATGGCCTAACATTAAGTATGACAAATCGTTCATCGGCATTTGAGCTAATGGTAGATTGTATTAGATTATAGGAAGGTCATGCATTTTTCCTGCAACTGCTGTAACATTAATTCCCATACTTACAACCAGAGAAAGCATTTTATTGTTTAAATTAACAATCGTGGTTTTCATAAGAAATAAATTATTAAGTGGATGTAAATATAAAACAAACATAGATTCTTCAGATGCATGTATATTGACAGATTTTTTTTCAAAACACTGAAAGTAATTGATAAACTAACATTCTTTAGCATTACACAGTGTTTAAGGACATATGATACAAACAAAAAATGGATGCCTGGATTGGTGTATATTTTTTGGCCTAATTTCATTGCAAATGATGCAAATAATAAATTTCTAGAATATAAAGAAATTGTAAACCTTCCGTGGTGTTCAAAAGTCTGCCCTTCTGACACCATCCTTATTAATCTATACAAATAATTTTCACTTCAAACTCCATTTTTGTGCACATTTGAATAAAAAATTAAAAACTACGTGGTGAACGTTATTTATTTTATTTATTTGAACATGACCCAAATTGTTATTTTCAAATTCTTTGACAAAAGTTTGTTTGTATCATCTGTCCTTAAAGATAAAAGTAAATTTCTTTCCTATGGCCTAATTCGTTGGTTTTGTTATAGTGTGCTCCTTCTCCAAATATGTATTAATTCTTCTAGAGTCTTTCATCAGGAATCTAAGAAAATAAATGTAATTTTATGTTGATGGTTATATACAGTAAATTTCATATTCATAAAAGTAACGAAGGAAGGTAATGTGATTTATATCACCAGTGCCATATAAGACAAACACATGTACACATCACAGACTGTATGAAGTGATAGATTAAAGCCCCTTTTTAAGTGTTAAAGTAGGGTCTACATACGTTAGGTCAATCCATTCATAATATGGACTCCAATTAACAATGAAAATACAAGTATATGCCCGATGCTTTATTTTATTAACAACTTGAATTTTCAAATGTGTTGAATTGTCAAATTCATAAAAAAAATGAAATTTTAAAAGGACAATGTAATTCATTGTCCATTGAATAAGAAACCCTATTGACAATTTCCTAATTAATTTCACAAGATGTACAATTATACTAGTTATATTAAAATGCTGGCCCTCAAAGAAAAAAAATACGAGTAAATCTTGATGATTTCATCCCAATACTTACATTAGAAGTATGAAAGCCAAGAACAAGAAGCCAGCGAACACTAGATACACGGTTCCTCTGTAGAAGGACACTGTCTCTGAGTAGATGGCGCCACCTAACACAGATCCAGTCAGGTTACAAATGTTCTCCACTATGTGTTGAACTGCCAACAAAGTACCTATATACAAAGACAATGAAAATCATAATTGATTCTATCGATTTTAGTGAGATTTTTTTCCATGAGCATTGAAACATGAGAGTTAATAGAAAGTCAGGCTTTCAAAAGTGATTTTATTTTATTTTGGTATACTAGCAGGTGAAAAAATTAGATTGCAACTTATCTCTTTTTTGTGATGATGGATTATCTTGGACATAATTTCTCTGCTCATTGGAATAGTGATTACTTTATTTTATCGGAAGGGGTCTTCATGGGAATGATTCCTCTGTTCATTGAAATAGAGGTTACCTTGTTTTTGATGATGGGTCATTATTGATATAATTCATTTAATGACTGAAAAATAAATTCTGACTCAATTCATCTTAGTATTAAAATAAAGATTGCCTTGCTTGTAGGAGGGGGCGTATTTGGCGTACCTTCTCTGATCATTGGACCAGAGGTTGCATTGTAAATGTGGTCTTTGGTTTTACTCACTTAATCATTGTAGAAAATACCTTGCTGGTGAGGCAGACTCACCTTTGACCTTACTCATCTAAATATTGGATCAGGGATTAGCTTATATAAAGAAGAGGAGAGGGAGGGGAATTCTTCATGGACATCATTTTAACTATAGATCACCATATTTTTGCGACAAGTAATTTTTGGGAGGAATCATCTTTGACATGTCATCTAATCATTGAAAAAAAGATTACGTTGTTTCTCATAATTGGTCACCTTTCAAATAATTTCTGAAATCTTTAGAATAGAGGTTACACTGTACTTTGTTTATTTGGAGGCATTACTTTGAAAGAATCCATCGTAACATATTATAGAGATTCTTGCTTTTGGAGAGGAGTCATTTTTGATATATTTCATTTTGACATTAAAAAGAGCTTACCTTGCTTGTGGGGAGGGGTCATCTTTGACATAACTCCTCTAATCATTGGAATAGAGCCCATCCCCAAAGTACCAATAGCAGCCGCTATTAAACACAATAATTATCCACATTAGATCAGTTTCCTTGTTTGAAACTACACATTTAAACAGATACCTTACATAAATACAATATAATTCTTTAAGTTAAATAAATCCTGCTTTTAAGATGAAAGAAGTAGGATAAAATATACCTGCAATGCACAATGGTGTTTAAACCTCCCAATATAAAACAATACTGAAATACTGATTATTTCTTGAGCTCGACCCTGAACAAGTCCATGCTCTGTGTTTATGAAGCATTGAAGTAATTACCTGTCACTAATATCTGTTGATATTCATGAAAATCAAGGAAACCAACCTTAAAAATTCACCATCCTTTGTTGTCTTAAATTCTTTTTTTTTTTTTTTTTTTTTTTTTTTTTTTTTTTTTTTTTTTTTTTTTTTTTTACATTTTTAGGTTTTTTACTCAAATGGAACAGACATCACTTAATTATAATATCATTCTGATATTATCAGTTTGTAAACTTGTATACCTCAATTATCTACGTTAACTCACCATGTGTAGAGAACTTTATTATTAGTAAATAGATTTCTAGGTTTTCCTTCACGAAAGACACTTGTATTTTTCGTTCCATGTTATTCAAATCCACTTACCTATATATAGATAAATGTCCGATGATGCTATTCCAAACAACACAAGACTACATGTTGAGGATATTGCCCCAAACATAGCGATGGTTTCATCTGTAATACACTGTTGCATGAATTTTATCCCAACTAAAATAACAATCTCTGAAAGACAGGTTTTAGCCGTTTCAAAGATACTGATTGTCTCTGGGTTAAAGCAAAATGGAGAGTTCAATAAATAAAATGTTTCAATCGCAAAAGACCCCAATTTAGACATCATTATGAAAATAAACGATAAAATTGCAGTGTTGTATTTCCAGCGAGTTGAGGTAGGATATTCAGGGTCATTCTTTGTATAAAATCTTAAAATATCTTTGAAATTTCCCATACAACTAAACCTGTTAGATTGTCTTTGTGAATCGGATAATGTTTCTGGTATAAAACATGCGATAACAAATGCCAAACCAGACATTCCAGATGATATAGCCATGGAGTAATCATACCCTAAACGCACGACAACGTAACCAGAAACAAATGTTCCCAGAGAAAAACCGACTCCAAGTACGAAACTAAGCACTGCAATCAAATACGATCTGGACTTTCCCGCTGTTGTCAGATCGGAGACGACAGACATTGCCACGGCGAGCTGAGCAACCCAACTTCCACAAAGACCCTCAATCAAGGTGAATGGTATAAACAGGTAGACATTCCAATGAAAAACAATAGCTAATGTCATGAGGAGCTGCTTGATGCCAGCACCAAATGCTCCTAGAGACAGAAACGGTCTCCGTCCGATGGAGTCACTCAGTGGGGAGAATAGGACGCTGGAGAGCAGAAGAGGCACTCCCTGTGCTATCGATATGTACACATTCCACCTCGCCACTGTCTTCTGTACAATCTGCTCATCCTTGTATCCCTGAGAAGATGTGTTTGTATCGCACAAAGATTTGTCTGTACTGTTGGACAATGTTCTATTTGGAAATTTCAGATCCCGAAATGTATCATGCCCATATTCACTGGCAGTGTACGAGCTCATAACAATCGAAAAAAATAAACAGAAATTTGCGGCACATAACGGTATAAAAATTTGAAGATAACCCTCTTTAGTTTCTGTTTTCATCATCAATAAACCTAATAATGTACAAATGTATGGAGGGTACTAGATAGAGAGCTGACAATGAATACGATTTAGGTCAAAGTACTAAATAGTGATACTGTAATCACGGGTTTTGTAGAGTGCACGACTCCTCATCATATTTAATAATGAAGTTCATTATTTTTTCCTCCATTTATCTGAAATATTCATAAGTATTGATAAAATTCCCACATGTCTGATGCCACATGTTTTAACCGATATTAATCCAAACTGGAAAAGTAGTAAAGCATGTACAAAATCTATACCAAACGAGTTATCTTTCATTGAATAAAATCTGAATTGTCCTTTATTATTCGGTCATTGCCTTGGCTTTCATCAACACAAAGTCGGGTCCTGAGTCCACTTGTGACTGTAGAATCCCTTACAAACTTCAGTTACTTTACACGCAGACTACATCGACATCTTGTTAAAATGCAAATCCTTTGGCTTGATCAATATTTTCTAAAATTTTCAGCATGATTTCATTGTATATATATTGCTAATGCAATTAGCAAATGTAATTCACAAAAATGTCATGAAAACATGTTTAGAAGCCCTTTAAATTTACGATTTGGGGACATGTTTGTTCGGTATACATTATAACATGTTCAAGAAGTAAACTTTATCCTTGATATTTAAGAAAAAATGGAAAAGTTATAAAGATACTGTAAAATTTTAATTTTCCACCTTCCCTCCGAACCCTCTGAATTTCAGGAAGATAATATTTCTGAGATTAAAAAAAAGCTATAAAATACATGTAGTATTTCATATAAAGGAATCTCTTTCCTTATTGGCTATTGATTTAATTTTTTTTTTAATTTCCAAAAAGTACAATAAAAAGTGCCGAGTTGCTCCTAATTCATTAGTAATAAAAGTGTTTAGCAGTATACACATGATAAATTTATTTAAGGAATATCTGTTTAATTTTTTGGTTTCATGATGTGATCAATCGAGTGACTTGCGTGATAAGTCTTCGGCGTTTATGCATAAAATTATGAGGCAATCCAATCGATTGATCATCTTGATGAAACCCCAAAACCTGACAGTTATTCCTTATAGCATTTACGTGGTATTGATTCCGCAAATTCACGTGTTACAAGCCCCGCACCTGTCTCTATTTGTCCAGCCCCGAACGTGATTTATTTATCAATACTATCACATTTTAATTCTCTCATTAATTATAATGACCAAGAAAGTCCGACACATGTTTAGTGGAGCTCATGGCATGAGTGCAGAGCAGGCTATAACAAAGATAAAATATATGGAGATAACGAACAGTATTCAAGCTCAAAAGTCCATAAAGCAATACAAAATAGGAGCAAAGCAAACATGGACTTCAAAAACCATCAGAGAAGGAATCAGGTGCCATGGAGGAGAGAGAGCATCCCCGCCGTGTGCTCCTTGTCATGATCGGGAAATAACGGTAAAATGGTAAAATTTATCGTCAAGTCAATGTGTAAATGATGGAGTTATAGCTAGAGTACGAAAACGTGTGTCAGCATTATTTGTTGACAAGGTCATTTGATCGACCATAGAACTTATGAAATGATGACTATAAACGAGACTGCCGATATTCTTGTTTCATCAACTTGTTTGTCAGTAATTTACGTCGTTTTAGAAATTACATACGTAGAGCATGTCTTCACGTCGAACATCCTTCCATTCTATATAGGACCAGCGAGATCTAGCGTCATCATACATCAGTACAGTTTGTCCTCAAATAAAAGATTACTAAAATGAAGCAAAGATTAGATTGCGTAGAATGGTTTCCCTTTTCTTTCAAGAGTGTCAAGATACGACTTATGCCGTTCAGGTTTTAGCATTTAACACAATTTTTGATCGATTTGATGTATAGCATTCAACTGGAAATAAATTGAATATAAACAAGAAAATACATTGATGGCAGACGAAACTTTTCAAGGGTGCCCCTTCACCCAAGATTTTGTTGTAATATTACTGAGCATCACTTATGACATGATAAATTATGAAATCCATTTGTTTGTCATGAGGAATTAAGATTTTCTCCATCCAAGTTTTAATAATATGCGTGTCGATTTTTTTTATCTGATATATATTAGACTCACAAATCAACCATAAAACTTGTTATCAATTGACACATTTCTTTTAAAATCATTAAAATTATTTAAAAACATGAAAAAAAAACATTGTAAATCATTTTCTCTAAAATGCATGCGTAAAAATTAAAGAACACTCCTGGTATCATTATAGAAAGCACAAATGAAATAAATGATAAGAAATAGAATTAAAAATTAAATATATATTTTTTAAAAAGCCTCAGTTAAGGGTTAGTTTACTTTGGACTCAAAAACTGGTAAAAAGACAATGGACGTCATCATACTCATGTTTTCTTTACTCGGAAATGCACTGAACAAATATCAATAGACAAAACTAAAAAAAACACTATTTATCAATATTTATGAACATAGAGGATATGTAGTGTTACACAAGAGTTATCTTTCTTTTTACATTGTGATCATTATTCCGGGTATGTAACCCTTTACGGTTTGTTTTTTAGAATATTTTATGTTGTTCCTACATGAGGCTAGGAGGCCATTTTCGCTTGTTCCAAGCATTGTTGTAACCTATTTTTCTCTTTTACGGGTACATCCCTGCACCATAAGTAAGTTTTTATGTATTATCTAACATTATATTTTACGGTTTACTTTTGATCAGATAGGGAAATAGATTTCGATGTGTATTAGAAAGTAAATGGTTAAGTAAAAATCTGCTATGTATGTAAACGCTATATTGTTTCTCAGTTTATGTGATAAATAACCTACATGTTACTAAGAGCGCATTTTAATTTTTTATGATAGGCCAGTTTATGATTGAATTTAAATTGGAAAAATGTTCACTAAATTTGGATATCATTCTTGTTTGTCTATGATTTGTCACTTACAATGTAAAATAGGGTTAATTGGGTATCACTGATTTTGTATGAATCTGTTTGTAAGTTTTGTCTCTTTATTATTTTCAGTCTTTTACCATACACATACAAGCATTGATGCAATAAAGAGTGATCCGCCCTTATTGTTTTGGTTTGTTGGTTTGGTAAACACTCTGCACAGAGGCAGAACAGTAAAAGATTATGACCAGGGACAACCTGTAGGACGATGGCAACAGGGGAAGGGGAGAAACAACAGGTCAAAGACGAACAGGATGATAAACAATCCAGGATTCGGACTCTTACTGAGAAGGGTCAGGCATCCTTTGACCAAACGTTCCTTGATCTACAAGAAAAGTGCACTAGCGCGTGGAGGGAGGTAGAGGACCTCATCGCAAATTGTGATGGTGACAATACAGACAGGAAATACCTAAGGACAACAGAAGACCACATAAATGCAAAATTCAAACAGTACCTTAAAGAAAGTCAAGCCCTAGCAAACTTCCTTGGAAGAGCACGCACAGAGCAAGCTCTACAGAAACTGGAGCAGCATGAGTCTCAGTATAGCACATATTCCGATGTAGTGTTCACATTTCGAGATGTCCTACATAATAAACTATTAGAGGCAGCCGAACGACTCTCGGAAAAGTTTGAAGTGAAATCCGGGACTTCATCACAAGCCTCAAAGACAATATCAGAAATACTCAAAAAACGAGTGCAAGCGGAGACCCAGCAAACAAGACTTAAATTCTTGGAAGAGCAGGCGGCTCTGGAAAAACAAAAGGCAGCTACCGATATTGATATATGGCTTTCTAAGGAAAAGAAGCAGCAGCTGTGGCAAACGCAGAAGTAAACGCCATGGAAAATTACGATCGTGGATCTCAAGGAAGTTTTCAATTTGACATTGAAGAACAAAGTGTGGAACGGACGGCCAGAGAAAGAACTGAAGCTTATGTGAACTCGCAGGCCAGCAACCACTCAGAAATCACACCTAACTATGTTCGACATGATGATGCCTCACATCGCTCGAGACCTGCAAGCATCAGTCAAGCAGGATTTCATTTTCCGACTGCCAGTCATGTTCAACCTCATGAACAGTCACCTATAGTTGACCTCAGTAACTACCTTTTGAAAAAGGATTTACTATTACATCGTTTCTCGGCATTTGATGACTCGGCGCAAAACTATACAGTGTGGAAAGTTGGATTCCTGAATATTCTGAAGGAATTGAAAGCATCACCAATCGAAGAACTTGATTTATTGACAAAATGGCTGGGCCCTGAATCAAAAAGACACGCTCTATCCATACGTTCAGCAAATACTCACCAACCTGAGAGGGGTCTATCCCTGATATGGGCACGATTAGAAGACCTCTATGGAAAACCAGAAATGGTGGAGGCAGCGTTGAAGTCAAAGCTCAAGGACTTTCCAAAAATTACAGAGATGGATCCGAAGCGTTATTATGATCTACTTGACTTGCTGTATGAGATTGAATCCAACAAGCAGGACCCAAAATATTCCAGACTACTTGGTTACTACGACACTTCCTCAGGCATATTGCCTATTGTTAGTAAACTCACCAATCAAGTACAAGATAAATGGGCCACCCGTGCATCTCAGTATAAACGTTTGAATCATGTTCCATTCCCACCATTTAGCATATTTGTCAGTTTCATACAGGAGATATGTGAATTGAAAAATGATCCAGGTCTTATTTCTAGTACCAGGTATCCACCCGACAAGAAGAGAGAACCTACAAACAAAGTCTTTGTCCGGAAGTCAGACGTTGGTACCGAAACGCCAACATCCTCTATGCGGTGCCCTATACATAAGGCTGACCATTCCTTGGAACAATGCCGTGCCTTTCTGGCAATGACATTCCCAAGTAAACGCGACTTTCTGAAAAGTAGGGAACTTTGTTTCCGTTGCTGCAAGGGAAAGCATAGGGCCAACAAGTGCAAACTTAAAGTGAGTTGTGACGTTTGTAAAAGCGACCGCCATGTTACGTGTATGCATTTTCACAGAGACTCTGGGCAAGAGAATGGCGGGGAGAGTTCATCTAAGAAATCACCTTCTGGGAAGGGAGATGAAAACATTATCACGTCCTCTTGTACCCGATTGTGCGGGAAGGATAGAGTTGGCCGATCTTGTGGGAAGATTGTTCTTGTGAACGTATACCCGTCTAACAGACCTGATCTTACCTTTAGAACTTACGCTATGATAGACGATCAGAGCAATAGAACCTTAGCTCGTTCCAAGTTTTTTGATTACTTTGGTTTAGGGGGCAATGACTGTGTTTTCACGTTGAATTCCTGTGGTGGA